CTACCCACTAGTGTATCTACCACGCCTCCTAGTTTAGTGTCATCTGCAAACTTGCTGAGAGTGCAGTCCACACCATGGTCGGTTAGATGTGCCTTAGCCCCAGGCACTTAAAAAAAAGGGGGGGGGATGGGGGGAAGGGTTTCCTTTGATTCATGATTTCCTGAATGGAAAGTGAAAACCATTTTGTTCTTCAAAACAGAGCAACTTCCAGTGAAGTCAGAGGGTATAAGGGGTTTTCTTCTTTGTTCCTCTCACGGATTTGCTCTGCACAACCATGCCCTTTCTAGCCTTGATTCAGCAATCCCCAGGCTGTGTATCTGGCACCACATCACAGTGAGCATTTCTCTAGGCAGTCAGCTGTGTGTGCCATCCTGTGAAGAGCCACATGCCTTAACCAGGCTACCTTTCTTTCTCTGCCTTTATGGCAAAGCAAATGTTCTCATAAGCGCCCTCACCTCCTCCAAAGTAGATTACTGTGCTCCTCCAGCCTGTGCTTTTCTGTTTTTCTGCTTCTTCAGCAAAGCGCAGTGAAACATACGCCTAACTCCAATTTTTTTCCCCACTTGGGCTTTTGTTATAATAGCTCAGTGGTGTAATGAGGAACATATTTTAACAGATGTGTCACATTTTATACTCAATGAGATTTTTTTTAAAAAGAATCAGTGCCTTATTTTTTTCACAATAAATTGATTAAACTTATGTGCTTCAGTAGAAAAAAAAAAGTAGAAATGTAGACTGAGAGCTGGAGATTAGAAAATGTCATGGAGTTTGGAGTTTGAAACTTTCAAACTATTTTGGGAGTCTTGGAAAGCTAGTTCAAGTTTGTGAGCTATTTTTTCCTGTAACTGAAATGCCTGTGCGCCCCCCCCCCCCCCCCACTGATTCATTTAATTAGGGTAGAAAAACAAGCTGTGTTTGTAGCTAAAAGGAAATTTGTTCTGTATATTTCAAAAAGAAAAATAGCTCCCCACCTACCATATCCTTCAAAATATCTAGGTGGGAAGTCTGTGTATATAGACATATTTGAATATATAGGTAGCACCACCTGTACTTAAGGTTGCTTTTATTACAAGACTCTGTTTCCAGTGGCTTATAACTTTGCCAGATTTTAACCATTTGGGATGAAATTTTCCATGACGGCTGTCTGCCTCAGGCTGAATCTTCCCTTTTTCTTCCCTCCCTCCCCCCATCACACCCTTTGGAAAATTTAAACGAAAGCCATTCAGGCATTTCTAGGAAGAAGGTTTTAGAAGAAAATACTATTAGAATTGTTACATTATTATTAGAATTTGACAGCTAAAATCTACAGAGATTGTCAGCACTGAGCATGTTCCATCCCCTCACAGCTCCTATCTGATGACTTGGACTGCATGTGTACCATCCCTACAGAGCAACTGAGTGTGCTCCAGCCCAGGGCTGCAGGGGCTGAGCAGGACTTTGCCTACAATTGCTGCTCCCAGATGCAGGTGGTGGCACCATACACAGGAACTGACCGCAGGGAACCTGTGTCTCCTGTCCTCTCAATTACTCCCTGTCCCCCATTCCCCACTGATTACCCCAACAGCATGGAGGAGAAAACAGCCTTACTTGTATGAAGAAGGGGACAAGAGCTGGACTGGGGAGGTAAAGAGGGGGAAGGAGGGTCAGCAGTGTCGGAAATAGATTGGGACACAAAGCCGGGGGAAAATGGGGAGGGTCGAGTGTTAGTGGGGATGAGGGAAAACTTAGATTTGATGTGGAGCAGGGTGGGTGGGAGGAGACTGTCACTGTCTGAGCAAACAGACTGGGATTGGGAGCCGTTTGGATGGGGAAAAGACAGATTGGACTGAGTTGCTCTAAACGGCAATTGAGGCACTTGGCTGCAGATCCCAGAATCATGGGAATAAAGGAATTGTGAAGCCATCTTCTCCGCCACCCACCCTGTGTGGAGCAGAGCTCAGCCAGATTGTAGAACCTGGCTTGGCTCTTAGTTTGTTGATATTGAATAATTCTACTGTTTTTGTCTTTTTAAAACTGCTAATGGGAATTATAGTTAGACTGGGAGACATAAATCCAGGTCTCTGGTTGTATTTTATAGAGCATAAATGGAGGGAAAGACCAAGCTCTGCTCTTTCCACTGAGGCACTATAGAACTTGGGGGAACATAGTGGGATGCAGAGGGGCAAAATGGCAGAAGGATGGGAAACTGTTACTTCACCTTTCATATTGGCGAAGCACATTTGATTGCAGTTTATTCTGCTTGGTTTATTTTGTTTTAAAAGGAGCCTGAATCAAATGCCCTTAAACTTTGAGGAGGTTTAGATCTGATCTATGTGGTTCAGATCCATCTCTAATTTTAGTGAAATACTGATAATTTGATCACAAATGTATTAATTTTCAAAAATACCAGCATAAAGTTTTGCCTGTAAAAGTGAGGGGGCGGTCCCCTACATATAACTATGCATGAAAAAGATCCCCAAAATTTGCAAATATGATTGTCTTGCACCAAAAACAGTATAATGCTGCACGCACAGTTGACTCTTTTGCACTCACTTGCATGTGTTGTGGGTGCAGTTTAGATTTTTTTTAAGTTTTGACCAACATAAAGATTACTTGTTGCAACTATTCAACTTCTGAAAATCTTCATTAGAAATACTTTAACACAACAAACTCAGTGCAAATTGTGACCATGCTAGGAAATTCATGTTAAATGAGGCAGTAATGGCCCCCAAGGAATTTTTAGTCCTTACTACTTGTCAAATAATCTTTCACATACATTGTGGTAAAGAGCTGCAATATTTCTCTTAAAACAGTTATTTGTTGTTCCTTTGCTCCTCTCTTTCTTTCTGTCCCTGATAAACATAAAAACTGTGAATGGAAACACCACCAAAAATAATCAATGCTTTTGTAGTCTCCCTGGAGAAAAATCTCTCTCAAGCTCCTTAGCCAATACTGGCTGGGTGAGGGATTACTCAAAACCAAAGCATCTACTCCAATTAATTTGTTGTTAATATTATTAATATTGACCTTTGTAACAGAACTTGGATTCCATTTAAAAGATTAAATAAGCAAAACCTTTGTCACATTATTTGACTGTTATCTGTAACCATGAAAATGTTGACCATCTGTGTGGTTCTACACGATGTTATTAACATGCCCTTCTTTTTCTTCTCCTCCTCTTCCTCCTCTTGGGGGGAAAAATAGCTGACGAAGTGGAAAGACTGGCTGCAATGCGTTCAGACTCTCTAGTACCAGGCACCCACACTCCTCCAATCAGGCGAAGAAGTAAGTTTGCCAATATAGGAAGGATTTTCAAGCCATGGAAATGGAGGAAGAAGAAGAGTGAAAAGTTCAAACACACTTCTGCAGGTAATAAACATGTGTTGGTTGACTGTTTTTAAATTGTTTGTTCAAATGGGCTGAAAACAATACAGAGTCATTAATAAGTAATGTAGGCACAAATGGTGATCAACTTAAAAATATTATAACTTTGTTGGAAATGTCTTCCAAATTCTAAAAAGATTTATCACTTTGTTCTGGACATTTTTTTAAAAATCCCATTTTTGTGTGATGCATTTAAAAAACAATGGAACAATTTTGAAGGGCCAAAACTTGCCAGAGCTGGGTACGCAACCTCTGATATTAGCGAAGCTCAGAAAAAGAAAGTAAACCAAATGAAGTCATGTTGGCTTCTGTTCTACGAGAAACATAGAGGGAGAGAGGTCAGAGTAACTGGTAAAATCAAGAGAGAACATCAGTGGAGAATGCAGTTACTTTCAAATGTTGTAAAGGTTTTTACAAATAATGAAGAATTAAAATAATAACTGGGAAAAAGCAGTTAAGACAATTTACTTTTATATAACTGATATGATAACAAATTCTTCATTCCACTGGACTGGAATGACCAGTATCCCTTCTTGAGACAAACAAGGCTCTCCTTTCTCCATGCCTTTCTCAGATTCCCACTCTTGGACATTTTTTATAAAAAGGTATTGAAAATTGCAAAAGCATGTTTTCGTATCAGAGAGAGTGCTGAGCCAGTACCCCAGATCCAAACACTAACTTTGGGGAAGCGTGGGTCTGGATTTGAACTCAGACCCTTCTCCATTTTGTATCTATGAACCTTCTCCCCACTGCCCGTATGATGATTTTGAGATGGCTGTGGCAAAATAAATTTTTTTACCTCAGGCCTCTTTATGAAGATAGACCCAGAAATGGAATACTATGGATCTCGCACTTCAAGGTGCCAACAGGGATTCTGGATATCTCACACTTGACCCCCTCCCCTGTCTACAACACGGTGAAAGTTTATAGTGTAGACAGGACTTAACTGTGCACTGTGATCCTCCAGGCCCTTACTTGTGTCAGTGGTCCTTACTCACCAACAAGCAGCATTTAAGAGGGAATTCTCACATGAGTTTGAGGTAATTTCACAAGTTAGGGTTTGCAGGGTGAGTGCCTAAAACCACTCTTCAACTACATGGTTTTACAACTTTTGCCTGGTCTGACAGGCAGAGACAAATGAATTGGAATAAGTGGCTGTGTTGCTCTAAGTGACTATCTTTTTGGCTTGACAGTTGTCAAAGTGACATGATTTTGCAAAACAAATGGCCTGCCCTTCATGTTCTATCAGTCATCACTGTAGTTCTCTGTAGCACAATTTCTGTGAGACTCTCATAGCTCTTTTGAAACACAATTACTAAAACATTTTAGTAACCACACAGAATGAAAAAAACACAGTAAAAATTATATATTTCCCTTCTTTTTTTTTTTTTTGTAGAATAAAGGTAAAATAACAGGAAAGCCACCACAAGTTAAGTCTCCATTGATAAGAGAGACTGATCTAGTGTCTGATGCCTTGAATCTCACAAGGGTGATCCCTTTAATTTTTATAGTAAATCAAAAGACAAACACACGAAATGGCATAATGAGAGCCAGTAAGTAACTTCCTATTATAGGTTATCTGTCTCTGGTGCATTGATAAATGTGACTTTAAAAAAAATGCCATTAATCTCCTAGGGGAATCCACTCCAGCTTTTCACAAAATCACTAATTATAAAAAGATATTTTGCTCTGCCTCTTCTAGCTACAGCAATAGATTCCAATGTTTTCAGTCTCCACGTTGGTGATAGATTGTTATGGACCAAATCCTTAAGTCCCCTTACTCAGTTCTAGCTTCCATTGAGGTTAAAGGAAGTTTTGCCTAGGAAAGGACTGATTTTTAAGGACTAAGAGTTGGCTCTGTTTGAGGTGCCCAAGGCTAATCACTTATACCTATTTTTTATTTATTTAGATTTAAAATTCCATGCCAAAGACTTCCCAGCCAGAAACCTGAGATCCCTCAAAATATGTTTAAAAGCACAATAAAGAAAAGTTACTTTATTTAGAAAGAAAAGGTTTTATTAACTGATTCATGATAGGATTAAATAATTAGAGAAGCCCTAGCTTGAGTTATGTTTATTACACATGGCATATCTCAATACACCAATATTCACCTCGTGGTGCTTATCATTTCATGGTCTCTATCTTCATTGCTAAGGTGTCTCCGGGAATCAAAGATGAACAGGGTTTATGTGTTTCTGTAATCCCTGCCCACACAGTGTGGCTGTTTGTCTCCTTCTAGTGACTGGACCATACACAACAGTTTATGAATCTGCTACTGCCTCTGTGCTAATGTACCTTGCTCTTTAGCTAAGCAGTAGAGGCTCATGTTTTTTTATCTTGAGGTCTAGGGTTCTTTCCTTGCAGGTAACCCATCCATGGGCATCATTGCACTTCCTATAGTTTAAAGTGAACGTGAAAGAGAACACATTTTAAAATTATTCATTGTTGTAAGCGTAAATATTAGATTGGCCCAAACATACTCTTTGATCAAGGGCTGGATCCAGATCAGGAGTTCAGATGACACACACATTTGCAGATGGTACAAAAATTGGGGGAGTGATAAATAATGAAGATCAGTCACTGGTATAAAGCAATCTGGTTAGCTGGACTCAAGCAAACCATACATGTTTTAATATGGCTAAATGTGAACATCTACATCTAGGAACAAAGAATGTAGGCTATACTGATAGTATGGTAGACTCTATCCTGGGAAGTAGTGATTCTGAAAAGCTTTGGGAGTCCTAGTGAGTCATCCGATGAACATGAGCTCCCAGTGCAACACTGGCCAATCCTTGGATGCATTAACAGGGGAATCTGGACTATAAATAGAGAGGTTATTTACCTCTGAATTTGGCACTGGTGCTCCGATTACTGGAATACATTTCCCATTCTGGTGTCCACGGTTCAAAGGTTGTGATAAATTGAAGAGGGTTTACAGAAGAGCAATGAGAATGTTTTCTAATCATTCAATCATACCTTATTATTGACTCCAAGAGCTCTGTCTATTTAGTTTTAACTAAGAGAAGGTTAAAGGTGACTTGATTAAGGTTCATAAGTATCTACATGGGGAACAAATATTTGAAAAATGGGTTCTTCAATCTAGCAGAGAACAGTGTGATGTAATTCAATGGTTGGAGATTGAAGTTAGACAAATTCAGACTGGAAATAAGGCATCACTTTTTAAAAGTGAGTGTAATTAATCATTGGAACAATTTACCAGGAGTTGTGGTGGATTCTCCATCACTGACAATTTTTAAATCAAGATTGGATATTTTTTTCCCTAAAAGGTCTGTTGTAGAAATTATTTTGGGAAGTTCTGTGCCCTGTGTTATACAGGAAGTCAAATTAGATTATCAAAATGGTACCTTCTGGCCTTGAAATCTATGACTATGGGATTTGATTTGCGTGCACCTCATGTTTTAAAATGAAGAGTGCTGAGGAGATTTTCAAAACAACATACAGCAAGTTGTAGGGGGGGAAAAGTGTAATTCTTTCCAGAGCAATTATTTTCAACAGCTGGGATATAAAACCCTTTACAGTAGAAATTTCTACTAGAATTTCTTTGACAGACACTGTTACCAGGCTGGAACATAAATATTTATAGCAGAGCCACACTAGAAAGTTTTCAGAGTAGCAGCCGTGTTAGTCTGTATCCGCAAA